GACGATGCCCCTTGTTTGGATGAAAGTTTTATTTCAAATTACACGGAAATCTGTGAACAATCTGCTTGGTGTTCCTGTGACACTTGTCCCATGATTTGCCAGTGCAGCCCCGTGAATACATGGACGAAAATATTTCCACCACCACCCTACGAACTCAAGATTGCATACTCCAGCATCCATACTTTGAATAATTTGCACGCCGCACAGTGCAGTACTGGAAACAGCATTTATTAAACAGGTAGACAAAAAACAGAACAAAATGCCTGTCTCGATCAATCGCACATCCATAATGTTTGTATGTTGATATGCTTGTAAATAACATTAACGTAAAAGTCGAAAACAACCTAGACTAGAAGTCAATTCACCAGTCCAGCCAGCTATGGCTCCCTAAGTTGCTTATATTTAATCAGATACTATTTCGTCATCATGCTTTGTTACCTTACCTGTTTATACCTCATGAGGGCGTTTTTTTATGGCAAGATGGCGCAAACGGAAGTCCTTCTCAGGTTTATGGTTTCTCATATTTAAATCATCATAACTCTGAAGAAAATCATTTTTTTTTATTTTTTTTTTCAAATTTATAATCAATATACATAACTTGATAAATACAAACACCAAAATAGGCTCTATTTAGTTCCCCTTTAATGGTTTATTCAAGTGGGAAAAATATAATGTACAGAAAGATTGCCCGTAGAGTATCGCTACACTGAAAAGTAAGCAACCGACAGCCTGTATAAAAGGGGGGCTGTGATTGGCTGTTACTTACGCGAGATTTGAACGGGACTTACATAGGCGTCGGATCAGATGTATGTAGGGCGGAATAAAAAAAAAATCACAAAATGAAAATCAAAGTAAAACAAGTCATTGTCAATGACACGTCCCCGTTCCGTTCATATCATGACCGAAATGCACCTGTATATGTACAACACATTGTACTAAATCTGAACAAAATCCATCCATGCATGACTGAGATCTGGTTCCGGAATTGTGAAAATACGTGATTTTGATGCATTTTCGGCCTTAAAATGGCCATCATTCAGCTATTGTTAAGCGGATCATGAAACAAATGCACATATCTATTTGTGACATAATGTACCATGTGTGTGAGAAGTTTGAACTTGATCAATCCAGACATGTCTTGGATACGGATCCAGAACTGAATTCTTTAAAACAAAATGGCCGCCAGTCGGCCATTTCAAACCCGATCCCCCAAAAAAAATGACGTGCATCAAGGTCCTATTATGTTTAATGTATGTACCAAATTTGAACGAAATCCGTCCATGCATAACTGAGATCCGGGTCCGAAATGGTGAAAATGTGCGATTTCAATGCATTTTCGGCCTTAAAGCGGCCGCCATTTGGCTATCGTTAATGAGATCATGAAACAAATGCACATACATATTTGTGACATGATGTACCTTGTGTGTGTGAAGTTTGAACTCGATCAATCCAAGCATGTCTCAGATATGGATCCAGAAATGAATTCTTTAAAACAAAATGGCCGCCAGTCGGCCATTTCAAACCCGATCCAAAAAAATCAAAGAAAGCTTAGAAAGAACTCCCGTGTGCTGAGAGTTTTGGAGACACATTAAAAATTAATTCAAAATTACTTGAACTTGAGATGTTGATGGAAATGCAGAAAATTAATTATGCAAATAAGGTAACGAACAGATTTAAGTGTAAAACTATTAAGGTCTGCACAATGTACCAAGTTTCATTGAAATGTGATTAGAACCAAAAAAATATTAATTATTATGCTAATTAGAGAATTAATATGAACAGATTTTAACCCAAAATTAATCAGGCTGTCTATTGTCCTAGACCATTTATGTACCAAGTTTTATTCAAATGTGATGATCAATACTTGAGATATACAGTATTAATTAATTATGTTAATAAGGTGATTAAGAAGCATAAATATTTACCAAAAACTAATATGGTGTATAGTCCTAGGTTCATTGAAATGTGACAGGTACTCTTGAAAAGTGTCGTTGAAATCCAATGAGTGGTTTTTAGACATCAGT